TTTTTTTTTTTTTTTTTTTTTTTTTTTTTTTTTTTTTGGGTCGGATCTTTTTGAATGGTGGTTTAACTTAATTTTATTCTTCTCCATGTTGCTGCCCCTAGGCGGGAGTTGTCTCTATGTCGTAGAATGAAATCTGCGTTGTGCAGATGCATAGACCCCTTCCCGATTACTGATGAGATTGTCAGTGCTTTCCTATTACTAGGTCCCTTTCGGGTTAGGCAGGTACTATGGGTCCTCTGACTTCCAATAGGTACATCAAATAAACCAGTTGGATCTCGCCGGTATCACCTATAGGCATAGGCAGACCCTGTAGGCCTACGTAGGCAAGTAGCTCCTCCTCAAAACCCACATTCAGAATTCATTCATCGTATTTTTGCTGCTTGGTGAGACCAGAGAGGCGCTCCTTTCACCACTGCTCGAGGAGAGAGAGAGAGAGAGAGAGAGAGAGAGAGAGAGAGAGAGAGAGAGAGAGAGAGAGAGAGAGAGAGAGAGAGAGTTTAGCCATGGGCAGTGAGAACTTGCTGCTCACTGGAAACGTTGCTCAGGCAGGCAGGGCCTTCAATTCTTTATCACTTTTTCCTGGTTTCATAATCTATTTTTGGATGTGACTGTTCAATTCAGATATTCGGTGGAGTTGCAATCAAGTGTGATCTCATCTCAATCAAGTGTGTAAAGTGAGATGATGGGTGGAAGTACTTGAGATTCTAAAAATTCGTAACAGGCCCTCAGATTATACCCCCTTTCCCGGTCAAGGCCGTAAAATTTTCGTTCTGGGCCGATAGAAAAAGGGTTAAGTTCTAGGCAGACAGAATAGAAACATACTAATTCGGAGCATACATTCTCATTCTTGAACTTGAACATACATTTTCATACACTGAAAAAAAAAAGGCAAGAATTATTGTGTGGTCTGTCTTCCCGGAAAAAAACTCTTATCTTTTCTGTCCGCTTAAATCAGACCAGAAGTAACGGACGGTCTTGACCCTGAAAGTTCCCTCACTCACAGGTTCGCTGCAGTCTTCACGACATGGAAAACCTCAGAAGAGAAGCGCAGACAAAGAGAGGTATCAGCAGCACGCAGAAACCTGACTCTCAGAAAGTCTGCATGTGCTTATTGGTTTGTGTCTGCGGACTTCGGGCCTCGCCGCACCACTCACCAAATGTGCAAAACGAGAACGAATCTTCCGCAAGAACATGGCGAGATACACAAGCATAACTTTTTTGTCTTTTGTGCATGTGGCCAGCGGTGCGGCCAAGTCCTTCATCTACGTAGAGTTGCTTGTATACATCCACTGCAGTTGGTATTCAAGCTCAGGCGGCTGATGCTTGCCACAACAGACATGCAGCAGGCAAGAGCGAGCCCACACAGTTCTTCTTTCGAAATTCGGACACGTAAAACGAGACGTGAATTCACAAGGAAGGGATCCATCCATTTTTGTAAGGAGTTCATTTTTTCTTTTCAAAAAAACGTAGCTGAGACGTGAAATTCAAGGAAGGGATCCATCTACTTTTCGGACATGCCATTCATTTCTCAAGCCCAGTTCACAAAACAAAATGCGCACAAATCAAAAGCCTGAGGGTATTCATCCATAAAAGGGAAAGGGGAGGGGGAGGGGGAGGGGGGGAAAGAAGGGTTGGAAGAGGGCACAGGTACAAAAGAAATTACCCCTTCAGGAGAGTACTTCTTGAATGGGTTGCACACACCTCTTTCCAGCTCCAGGAGCTCTATTCCAGCTGAACTCCTCGCGAACTCCCTGGGTAGGTAATCATCGGCGTTGAGGAGCTGACGTTCGCCCGATGCAGATGACACAACACGAGCCAGGACTCGATCCCCTCTCCTCTGGCTGTGCCTCTGGTTATCCTGGCCAATAGATGAGCTCGAGCCAAGCCGACACGGCTTCGCTGACAGGTCAAGACTGACCTTCTGGCTGTAACTCTGTACATAGCAGTGCGGGCGCACGGCAGATCTCAGAGACCCAGTTCCTGAGCACTGACCTTTACAATAGCTGGGAAAGGGAGAGGGATTGATTGGTCGGGATCGGGTAGATACCCGTCCCTGCTGAGAGAAACTGCAAGGAATACAGCAGGACCACGATGATCCCCAAAAACTGCTTTGCAACTGCACTCCCCCTCCCCTTCCCCCTCCCCCCCCACATGAGCCCCCAAGTCTTGCATACTCAAGACTCCATCCCTTGACAGCTGGATTTCCTGCCCGCCTCTTTCCTTCATCACGCGGCGTTTTCGAGAGATGGTCACGATGAACTCTGTCCAAACGGCAACGTTTCGATACTCCAGACGCTACAACTGAACTCGGCTGAGGACGCGATGCTACGTCGCCCCTAGAACCTGACGACACAGCAGCTGCAGCAATTAGACGGGCTTCTCCTTCGCGAACGAGCTGCAGTCCCTTAGGATGAGGACAAACGGCTCCAGTTGTTGCCATGTCGCCGCAGCAGTTGATTCACCAGAGGTCGGGATCTGAGACTGAGGTCACTTCGAAGGCTGACGGACAATGGGCCAGACGACAACAAGCTGTCAGAGCTCGGGATCTGAGACTGACGTCAGCAAGGGATCATTTCAACGAGTGTTGAAAGGAGACGGAGGGGGAGGTGTGAGAGGGGGGGGAGGGGGGGGGGGGGGGGGGGGGGGGGGGGGGGGGGGGGGGGGGGGGGGGGGGGGGGGGGGGGGGGGGGGGGGGGAGGGGAGTCCGTGGAGGCATCATCAACAAAAGGACTACAATGATTTAGTCATAACTGCTCTTGCCTGCTTCTGTATTCTCGCAACGTGCTGTTGGAGTTAAGGGGGGGAGGGGGGGGAGGGAGAAGAAAACGAAATCCACTTCCTTTCACTGGCCGAGGTCGGAGGCATGCTCTCCGAGTTCGGTGCACCATGCAGACTCTCACGAAGGGCTCTCCAGAAGGAAAAAAAAAGCTGTTGCAAACTGTGAACTCTCCTCCCGCGGAGAGTCGATTTGGAAAAGGTTTTCTTTTTCTGACAGCTCTGCGAGGATTTCTTCGGCGTCGATTCGGAGAGTTTTGAGAGTTAGTGCAGCGATCGAAAACTCTCCGAAATCGTGAATGGGAGAGTAGTGCAGCCAGACCGTTTAAATTAATTTCATGTATCCTACTAGTCCGGGCCGAGGTTCCGCTACGTGTAGCGAGTGGATCGGCCGGCTTAAACGAAATGTGTGCGGCGGAAGAAAAAAGAAAAAGGTTTGTGCGGCAGCAGAGCGACACATGCCCGCCACGCACGATCTGTGTGATCCCACGGTCAGCCATTTAGTATGTGAAATTATAACGGAAACGGGAAGGAGGGGGGGGGGAGAGTGGAGGAGGAATAAAGTCGGTGCAATTACACATTATTATTACAGTACTATTACWGTACTACTGTAATAATAAGCCGGTGMAAAAAAAAAAAAAAAAAAAAAAAAAAAARCCGGTGCGTTCAGAATTTCCCCCCAGCCTCCGACCATCCGATTGGATTGCAACAAAGCAATTTCTGTCCTGTTCATTTGATCCCATCAAGACTTGTCCGTTAACAAAGCCATGGCTGTTTTTTTTTTTTCCGTTAACTAACGAACATTTACATGTGTGTAACCAAACAGCCGTGTCGGCTGATTGGGTCCAAACCATTTTTCTTTTTCACCCGGTCTGTAGGCAGGCCGCTGGGCTTTCCCAAAAAAAAAAAAAAAAAAAAAAAAAATCAGCTTCGCAAGTTCGGACGGAAAGGAAAGAGCAGATTGTTGCGTGGAAAACAAGTGTGTCAGATCAGACGCCATAACTCTTCCTTCACTGCTGTATTATCTATCACCTCGAGTTCTTGATCTTTCTTGCTGTCCCATCATCTATCACCTAATTCCAGGGTGCATACCATCTATCTTCTTTCCTTTTTTTGTGCGAGGCACGCCAACAGGCTTGAACATCTGCCCGCGGATCATTTGTCCTTCCACGGCCGGATAGCAGCTCTTTCTTCTTTGCTGAGTAGCATGCGCGGCTATGCATTGAAGAGTTTTCGAAGCGTGTACGAGAGGCAGTTGGCCCCTGTTTTCACTATTTGTTTGTTTGCTTATCTAATTGTTTGTTTGCTTGTTTGCTTGCTTGTTTTTCTTTTTGCTTGCTTGTTTTTCTGTTTGCTTGCTTGTTTTTCTGCTTGTTTGTTTTTTCTGTTGCTTGTTTTTTTGTTTGCTCGTTTGTTCCTTTTAAATGGTTTTCAAAGATGAGCGTTTTAGAATACACGAAGCTAACAAACAAACAAGCAAGCAAGCAAACAAACAAACAAACAAACAAACAAACAAACAAACAAATGGCACTAATTGCAAGGAGACGGAGGATTTAGTGCCGTCGTGTATCCTCAACAAGACTGCGTCTCCTTGCAATAAGTTCGTCTGTTTTGAATCCGAGAGAGAGTTTTTTTTTCTGAGACAGCGTTTTAGGATAGAGGGGGAAAAAAAGGGCCGTCGTGTATCCTAACACGCTTTGGTGCCGTCGTGTATCCCGAAACGCTTTTGTGCCTTCGTGAATCCTAAAACGCTGTCTAAGAAAAACTCTCTCTCTCTCTCTCTCTCTCTCTCTCTCTCTCTCTCTCTCTCTCTCTCTCTC